CCCTGCTGCGGCCACCCTAAGCACACTCAGTTCACACCTGGAGTCACAATCACCTCCACATCGGCTTTCTGCCTCCACTTTGGCTCCACCCCATTCTGCACCCCGCCTTAAAACACGATCAGATCCTGACTCACATGTCCACCTGCCCCGCCTCCAATGAAGACCAAGACTGATAGAGCAGAATCGAGCCCCGAAGTAGGCCGCGAGGGAGAGTCAATTGATCTTTGACAAGACCCTGGGACAGAGGAGTCTCTTCTTTAACGAATGGCCCTGGAGCTCCCGAACGCGCAGAGGGAAAGTCGGGCCTGCACTCCCGCCTCCCCCCGCCCCACAACGAGTTAATCTGAAATGAATGATGGACCCAAGTGCGAAGCCGGCATCACGAAGCTTCTGGAACAGAACTGGAAAACGTCTTCACGACAGTGGGGTAGCAGGGAACCCCCAGAGCAGTCACAAAAACACCCCCGAAAAATGGAAGATCGGTTGGTTGGACGGAATCAAAATTCAGATCTGCTTACAAGAAGAGCTCTTTAAGAAGATCACCAGGCAAACTACAGAATGAGGGAAAAAACTCAGTTCACACCCGACAAAGCATTCAGACCCAGGAGACATGGAGAACTGCTGCATAACCACGAGGCAGCACACTTTTTAAGTAAAAATTTGCAGATGGCCAATAAATATACAAAAAGTTGTGTGCGTGATGCGTCAGGGAAATGAAGATTAAAACTTCAATGAGAAGCCTGGCGCCGTGGCACAGGCCTGTAATCCCAGAGGCTCGGGAGGCTGAGACAGGAGGATAGCAAGTTCAAAGCCAGCCTCAGCAACAGCAAGGCGCTAAATAACTCAGTGAGGCCTTGTCTTTAAATAAAACACAAAATAGGGCTGGGGGTGGGGCTCAGGGGCTGAGTGCCCAGAGTTCAATCCCTGGTACAAAAAAAAAAAACCACAAAACTTGCAGTGAGAGTATTTTACAACCATTAGTCTGGCTAAAAAAATTCTTTTTAATCATTTTATTTTATTTTGGAGGGCTGAGGATGGAACCCAGACCCTTGTGCTTACTAGGTAAGCACTGTGTCCCCTAGCCACATGCCCAGCCAAACTGGCTAAATTTTAAAAACTGACAATACCAAGTGTTGACAAGGAGAAAGAACCACAAGAACCCTCCTGCATTGCTGGGACTATCCAATAATACTACCCCCTAGGAAAACCCAGAGTTTCTTTCAAAGACAGAAAGCCCTCCACACCTCGAGCAACAGTTCTGCTCTGAAGAATTGAACCCAGAGAAATGAAAAATATGTCCCCGGAGATTTGGACCTGAATGTTCACTGCAGATTTATTTGTGCTCCAACAACAACAAAAACAAAACAATAATTCAAATGCCCTTGGTTAGCAAGACAGATAAACAAATTTTCATCATTTCAAATGAATGAGCTTCAGAACCAACCGCGATGGCGTTTAACATCATGTCAAGCAAAAGAAATTAGATGATGAAAAGTGCTCGCTGTGCGAATTCACATCTGTGAAGTTCTAGAACAGGGAAACACACCTCTGTGGAGAGAAACGGAACAGCAGTTACCCCTGGAGAGTGGAGTTGGACAGGAAGAAGCATACGGGAGCCTCTGGAGAGACGGGAACATTCTGGAGTTTGCTCAGGACAATGGTTACACCCATTCCCCGTATCAAAGTTTATCCGATTGTGCACTTCAGTCAGAACAGAGCCCTTCCTGACAGGTAGATTCCTATCACAACTTAGAAATGTCTGAAGAAGGAGAGGAGACCCAGTCCACCTGGCCGCCATTACCTCCAACCCGAATCCCAGCTCCAAGGTGCTTTTCTATAACTCTTCCTTCAATCCACCTGCTCCAGCCCCAAGGCCTCCTATTCTTGCCTGAATGAGCCACACTCAAACCCACCTCTGAGACTGTGCTTTTGTTTTATTTTATTTTGGAGTGCTGAGGATGGAACCCAGACCCTTGTGCTCACTAGGCAAGCACTGTGTCCCCTAGCCACACGCCCAGCCAAACTGGCTAAATTTTAAAAACTGACAATACCAAGTGTTGACAAGGAGGCAGAACAATCACAACCCTCCTCCATTTCTGGGACTATCAGATACTACTACCCCCTAGGAAAACCCAGAGTTTCTTTCAAAGACAGAAATCCCTCCACGCCACGAGCAACAGTTCTGCTCTGAGCCTCTGGCTTTCCTTCCTTCCTGGAATAATCTTACCCCAGACGCTCTCAATTCCTCCCTCTGAGCCTCCACTGTCCCTAACAGCCTCTTCCTCCCAGCCCTTCCACCCCCCATGCTGACTTTGTCTTCTGGAGTGACACTCATCTCAGAGTGTAGTCTGTATTTCTTTCTTGTCCAAACCCCCTACTGAGATTTAAGTTGCGAATGGGCAGGTCTTTAATTTGCCATGTTCATATGGTGCAGGGCTCAGAAAAAAACCAACATATTACTGAAACACTAGTTGAATAATTAGTTGGCTAATACTTCTCTGGGTTGTTGTGAAGATTAAGTAAGGCAGTACATACAGAGTGTGTAGCCTAGTGACAGATGGAAGACGTATTCAGTGAATATAAACTGCCATTGTTATTAATCACTGCATCCCCAACATTGCCCTGCGTAGTAACTCATGCAAATTAGGTGTACAATAAACAATTAGATGGATGGAGCAGATGAATGAATGGGTGGCTGAGCAGATTGCTAGATTTGTGGTAGACAATTGGGTGGATGTGTAGGTTGATGGATGGATGGATGGATGGATGGATAGGTGGGTGGGTAGGTGGGTGGATGGATGGATTGGATAGGTGGATAAATGAGTAGGTTTGTGGATGGATGGATGGATGGATAGGTGGGTGGGTAGGTGGGTGG